ACCACAACCAGCTAATTTTTTGTATTTTTAGTAGAGACGGGGTTTCACCATGTTAGCCAGGATGGTCTCGATCTCCTGACCTCGTGATCCGCCTGCCTTGGCCTCCCAAAGTGCTGGGATTACAGGCGTGAGCCACCGCGCCCGGCCTATCTAAGGTCTTTAGAGATTTGTTTCTGTCCTCTGTCACTTTTGGTGCATTTTGCCCATGCCGTGTAGTTTTCTTTATGTTCGGTTATTTTCTACTCTAAGCTGCTCATCTTCCTTGGAATTTTATCTATGGGGAATTCTTTGAAGTCTGTAATGAAGGCAGGTTCCTCTAGAGAGAATTGGCATTTGCTTCCATTGAGATCTCTCGAAATTAAATTCTCAGCTAAAGGTTTTGTGAATTTAGGGCAGATTTTTCTCCCCCGATCACAGTAGTGATTTGAGGCTGCAGAATTCTTCATAGTCCCTTGGGAGGACTTCCTCAGTGCAGGAGTCCAAGCGTTTGTTATTTTATTATTTACCTTTACTTCCCCTGTACCAAGGAGGCAGTCTTGTGTGTGTGTGTTGGTGGTGGTGGTGATGTTTTGAGACAGTTTCTTGCTCTGTCATCAAGGCTGGAGGTACAGTGACATGACCACAGCTCACTGCAGCCTCAACTTCCTGGGCTCAAGCGATCCTCCCACTTCAGTCTCCTGAATAGCTGGGACCACAGGTGCACACCACCACGCCCGGCTAATTTTTTAATTTTTTGTAGACATGGGGTTTCACCATGTTGGCCAGGCTGGTCTCAAACTCCTGAGCTCAAGCAATCCTCCCTCCTCGGCCTCCCAAAGTGCTGGGATTACAGGCATGAGCCTCCATGCCTGGCTGACAGATTCCACTTCAGAACCCCATCCCAGGTGTAATAGTGTAGATGCTATTCGTCTATTGAACCCATCTGGAAGAGATATTCCCTCCACTGTTCTTAGATAGAGACACAGAAAAAAAGAGCCCACAGGCAGACTATGATTTTGCCAAAGGTGGGAGACTCATCTTCTTTATTTTGAGGTGGAGTCTCACTCTGTCATCCAGGCTGGAGTGCAGTGACACAATCTTGGCTCACTTCAACCTCTGCCTCCCAGGTTCAAGTGGTTCTTCTGCCTCAGCCTCCCAAGTAGCTGAGACTACAGGCGTGCGCCATCACACCCAGCTAATTTTTGTATTTTTTGTAGAGACAGGGTTTACCATGTTGGCCAGCCTGGTCTTGAGCTCCTGACCTCAAGTGATCCGCCCACCTCGGTCTCCCAAAGTGCTGGGATTACAGGCATGAGCCACCGCGCCTGGATGGACTCAACATTCTTAAGTAGGCAGCTTTGTCCAAAATTTATCAAAGGAAGTCCTTATGTTTGTACAAAGGATTGTGCTTTAAGGAATGTTCATTGAAATGGTTTATGATAGCAAACATTTCAGCCATTTGAATTGGCTTCAGCTCATTTGAATTTATTGAGTCAGTTCAATAAATTACAATAATACTGGTCGGTCACTAAAAATAATGAAAGAAAGTTTAAGAAGTTGAATAAAATTGCAGCATATTAAGCAAGAAAAATAGATTGATTCTATTTATATCTAAGAATAAAGGTAGATGGCTGGGTGCGGTGGCTCACGCCTGTAATCTCAGCACTTTGGGAGGCAGAGGTGGGCGGATCACCTGAGGTCGAAGTTCAGGACTAGTCTGGCCAATATGGTGAAACCCCATGTCTAGTAAAAACGACAAAAATTAGCTAAGCATGGTGCTCACACCTGTAGCGTAATCCCAGCCTTTTGGGAGGCCCAGGCAGGCGGATCACTCGAGGCCAGGAGTTTGAGACCAGCCTGGGCAACATGGTGAAACCCTGTCTCTACTAAAAATACAAAAATTGACCAGGCATGGTGGCGCATGCCTGTAATCCCAGCTACTCAGGAGACTGAGGCAGGAAAATCACTTGAACCCAGGAGGCAGAGGCTGCAGTGAGCAGAGATCGTGCCACTGCACTCCAGCCTGGGCAACAGAGCTAGACCCCATCTCTAAATAAATAACATAAAGGGGAGAAAAAAAAAGAAGAAGGTAGATTCTTTACCAGAGAATTTCTGGCCTCTGATCTCTCGACCGTCATGTTCTTGTTGTTGACTCTGCTTCCCCTCCTCTTCCTGAAAGGGCCACCTGAGCGAGGGGTATGGCCAGCTGTGCAGTATCTACCTGAAACTGCTGAGAACCAAGATGGAGTACCACACCAAAGTGAGTCTCTGCGGACAGTTCTGCCGCCACCACCGCCTCCCTTGCTCTATCCCCTCAGCCCCTCCCTGGGCTCAGTTGTCAGCTCTTTCAGGTAATAGACAGCCCAGGCTTCTGAGGAAGTGTGTGCATCATGTACCCCAGCTGTGGGAGAGGAAAGCCATTGCCAGGCCCATGGGACGTGATGAGGACTGGGATTTTGGCCCATGTCTTCTGCACCCTTTGTGCCCCATTTTGCAACTAGAAAGAACAACTGGCCAGGCACGGTGGCTCACGCCTATAATCCTAGCTGTTTGGGAGACCCAGGCGGACAGATCACCTGAGGTCAGGGGTTCAAGACTGGCCTGGCCAACATGGTGAAACCCCGTCTCTACTAAAAGTACAAAAATTACCCGTGGTGGTGATGCGTGCCTGTAATCCCAGCTACTCGGGAGGCTGAGGCAGGAGAACTGCTTGAACCCAAGACCAGGAGGTGGAGGTTGCAGTGAGCCAAAACCATACCACTGTACTCCAGCTTGGGCGACAGAGTGAGACACTGTCTCAAAAAAACATAAAAAAGAAAGGGTAACCCTAGCCACTAGATTGCCTTATGAAAATGTTACAGAAGCATTGATTTTACTTTTTTTTTGTTTTTTTTTTTGAGACGGAGTCTTGCTCTGTCGCCCAGGCTGGAGTGCAGTGGCCAGATCTCAGCTCACTGCAAGCTCCGCCCCCCAGGTTCACGCCATTCTCCTGCCTCAACCTCCCGAGTAGCCGGAACCACAGGCGCCCACCACCACAACCAGCTAATTTTTTGTATTTTTAGTAGAGACGGGGTTTCACCATGTTAGCCAGGTTGGTCTCGAACTCCTGACCTCAGGTGATCCACCCGCCTTGGCCTCTCAAAGTGCTGGGATTACAGGCGTGAGCCATGGCACCCAGCAATTCCCACAATTTCTATAGCAAGCTCCCCTACAGACCTGTCTTTTAATTTTTTTATTTTATTTTTATTTTATTTTATTTTTTTGAGATGGAGTCTCACTCTGTCACTTAGACTGGAGTGCAGTGTGGCACGATCTCACCTCACTGCCACCTCTACCTGCTGGGTTCAGGCAATTCTCATGTCTCAGCCTCCCAAGTAGCTGGGACTACAGGCAGGAGCCACCGCGCCTGGCTAATTTTTTGTATTTTTAGTAGAGACGGGATTTCACCATGTTGGCCAGGCTGGAGGTGGATCACCTTAGCTCACTGCAGCCTCAAATTCCTGGGCTCAAGAGATCCTCCTGCCCCAGTCTCCCGAGTTACTGGGACCACAGATACTCGCCACTATGCCTGGCTTAGATCCACTCTGGTGTGAGGCTGGGCAGGGTAGAAAACAGCATCTCAGTCACAGAGGCCTCAGCACCCACCTGAGCCATACCTTGGACCCAATGGGGATCAGGCTGTAAAGCAATGACATGGGCCACTCTGCATTTTAAGTCCACTTTTCCAAAGTGGACTTAAAAGATCCAGGTGGCCAGTGAGGACAATGATGAGAGCCTGAATTAGGAGTTGTCCATGGGACAGTCAAAGAAGCAGGGACTGCCTGAAGATTGGCAGGAAATGAGGCTGGGTGGGGTTGCTCGGGCCTATAAACTCAGCATTTTGGGAGGCCAAGCAGGGCGGATTCCTTAAGCCCAGGAGTTCGAGCCTGGGCAACATAGGGAGACCCTGTCTCTACAAAAAATTTAAAAATTAGCCGGGTGTGGTAGCATGCAACTGTAGTCCCAGCTACTCGGGAGGCTGAGATGGGAGGATGCTTTGAGCCTGGGAGGTCAAGGATGCAGTGAGCTATGATCACATCACTGCCCTCCCACTTGGGCAACAGAGTGAGGCCCTGTCTCCCAGAAAAAAGAGAGAAGAAGGTGACGTGATGGATACTGTGAGGTGGGGGAGGGGAATAGCTGAGGGGTGTGCAGGGGTCTGGCAACTGTGGGAGACAACAGGGGGTCAGGCAGAGGGGTGGGCACATAGGAGGCAACATAAACCAGAACTGAGGCTGGGCCAGGCCGGGGTGTCAGAGGCCGAGGCGGGGAGTCGGGCTGCCCTCGGGCTGGATTGCAAGGCAAAGAAGCAGGAGGGAGAGGCTCAGGGTGTGGAGGGGAGGGGACTTATAGCGTGTGATTGGAGGGAGGACCAGGCTCTGGTAAAGGTGTCATGAGGAGATGGGGAAAGGTGAGAATTGGATTTAAGATCTTCTGGGGCTGGGCACAGTGGCTCACGCCTGTCATCCCAGCACTTTGGGTGGCTGAGGCGGGCAGATCGTCTGAGGTCAGGAGTTCAAGACCAGCCTGACCAACGTGGCAAAACTCATCTCTACTAAAAATACAAAAAGAAATTAGCTCACGCCTGTACTCCCAGCTACTCAGGAGGCTGAGGCAGGAGAATCACTTGAAACTGGGAGGCGGAGGTTGCAGTGGGCCGAGACGCTGCCACTGCACTCCAGCCTGGGCAACAGAGCAAGACTCCATCTCAAAAAAAAAAAAAAAAGATGGGAGTAGAGGTTTTGAAAGTGTTAAATTGAACTGGTGGGTGTGGTGGCTAACACCTCTAATCCCAACACCATGGGAGGCTGAGGCAGGAGGATCACTTGAGGCCAGGAGTTGGAGACCAGCCTGACCGACATAGTGAAACCCCCATCTCTACTAAAAACACAAAAGTTAACTGGGTGTGGTGGCACGCACCTGTAATCCCAGCTACTCAGGAGGCTGAGGCTTGAGAATGGCTTGAACCCAGGAGGCGGAGGTTGCAGTGAGCCAAGATGCTGCCTCTGCACTCCAGCCTGGGCGACAGAGCAAGACTCCATCTCAAAAAAAAAACAAAAAAAAAAAGATGGGAGTAGAGGTTGAAAGTGTTAAATTGAACTGGTGGGTGTGGTGGCTCACGTCTCTAATCCCAAAACCATGGGAGGCTAAGGCAGGAGGATCACTTGAGGCCAGGAGTTGGAGACCAGCCTGACCAACATAGTGAAACCCCCATCTCTACTAAAAACACAAAAGTTAGCTGGGCGTGGTGGCATGCACCTGTAATCCCAGCTACTCAGGAGGCTGAGG